TCAACCACAAATTCTACTGTTTATAAAGAAATAAACAGCAAAATTACTGTAGTTAAAATATTGCTGTAAGCATACCGTTGGAGTGTCCTCTTGCTAACATTAGAATTACATGCTTCACCACTGTCTGGTTGCTAAGCTTCCTTAAGCAGATGGTTCATCTCTGACACAACTTAGTTTCAGAAAAGTCAATGAGTTAGGTCTGTTTTAGTCAACGTACATGGTATGCAGAGCAGTCAGCTATGGTTTCAGTGTCACGGCAAAAACATTAGGTACTACAGCTTTCAGACAATGGTACATACTTAAACAGCAGTCATGTAATATCATGTTCTGTGACATTTGGATGTGCCATCACCCACAACAGTTTCCAAACTAGGTTAAACTACAGCATGAGGGAGGAACCAGGTGTTTTGGTCAAGGAAACATGTAAAAATGTCAAAAAAGACACTTCAAATATGATGACATACCACTTAAATATCCACTCTGCATTTCCTTTTCAAAATAAAAGACTTCTTGAATGTTCCATTTTTTCAAAATGAAGGATTATGTATTTTTTTAAGCTCAGAAACTAGTATTTCAGGTGCTCCACACAGGAATCAAATAGGACCCATCAGTGAAAGTATCTTAAGGCGTATATAYGAATCTATTGAAGATGGTCCTCAACTTAATATGGTTCAATTTCATTTGCAGACTATATGTAAAAATGCATTCTACTATAAAATATGTAAATAAATTAATTTTGAAAAAAGAACCAGGAACTTATGGACACTGTATATAGATTATATTAAAGAGCTATTAGTACTTTTTAGATGTGAAAAAAAATAGTACTTGCAAGAAAACAGAATTCTGTCCTGTATCAGTATTGTTCACCATTTATTGTGTATGTGTGTGTGTGTTTTACTAGGAATTGAATTCAGAAGTGCTCTACCACTGAACTATATTCCCATCCCTCATTTTTTTGTTTTTGAGATAGGATCTCATTCAGTTGCAGAACACTTGACCTCAAAGTTGTGATCCATGTTACTTATTCTGAGTAATTTGATATAGATTCTGTATTTCCTATTAACCCATTCTTATTCTTAGTTATTCTATAATGAATCATGATTATAGCATCAGAGGTTTTTTGTTGTTCCTACTGGACCGAAAAAACATGGTTAAATATGAATTTTACCTTGCTACTCTTAAAGTGCATTACCTTAGAAAAATGAAACTACTGTTTGTAAAGCAGAAAGGGGGGCGAGAGGTCAGGAACCACAGAACAAGAATGAGCCACCAAAAGGTTTATTGGGGGGGGGGGGGCGCTCCCGGGCGAGGTTCAGGGTCCATGAAAGGGTGTGGGCCTGGGAAGTCGCGGGCGGGAAAGGCAAGAACAATGTTAATAAGGGAAACTGGGGGTAGGAGGGCCTCGCCATCTAAACTGCAGCTACCAACAGCAGGCTGGCGAGCAGAGTTTAGGGGTTGGTCAGGGCGACTGTTTCAGCCAGCAGGAACCCAAGGTGGTTGGGGTCCTGCTGCCAGGTCAGCCTCTGATTGGCCATTTCCGGTCTACTCAGGCAGGTGGAAAGTCCCTGCCCACAGCTGCCATGAAAGAGGAGGAGGGGGAAGGAAAGGCTGCTGACCCAACACTGTGACAAGAAACCACTACCGCTACTGCTATCAGATGGAAGCTTTATAATCCAGAAATTTTGTATGCTGCGAAACAATACTAATTTGAACTTAAGAATATACTCATTAAGAATACTCATTAAGAATAAATTTTTATTTTTGCTTGTAAAGAAATGCATATTAAAGGTTTTCATCACAAAAATGATATTAAAATAATTACTTTATTACAAAGATAATATTTGATGAACAGGATAAAACTTTCACATAAGAATTAAAGGATGGAATTAAGAATATTTAGCCAATACACACTAAGCCAATACAACATGTGACTTTGGCAACTCCAATTTATTTTATAATCCTAGATTTGGGCATTTGGGGGGAACTGCTTTATATGAATCCAGTTCTCAAACTTTGCAAAGGCAATCTTTTTACAGTATTTCATCAAGGCATCACTTTTTAAGTTATTCTGAGTTATACACTTTAAAATAGTGTATATTTTAGCGATGACTTTTAAATGTGAATTGTTATTCACTACCATGGATTAGTTCTGTTACTAGAATTTACTCAAAACAAATTCAGTGAATTCTGCATATATTGACATAAATGAAGCAAAAATTTATGATATGGAAGTCTTAATTTTTCTCTGAATTTCTTTCCAAATCTTTAGTTGGATACCTGTTCCCATGAAAAGTTTACCTAATGTTGTACCATATTAGGTCATTTTTGTCTAAAATTCAGTAAGATTTCACTGGTGTACTAAATTTCTTTTGTAATGTGAAAGTAATTTTGGGATAACTCTTTCAACCTTATAGGAGATGGCTAAATAAGCCACAAAACAATATAAATGCTTTAATTATAATAACTAAAAATGCTTTTATTTAAAAAAAAAAAGATTTTTCAACTTTATGGTAGTTCAAAAGTAGTGCATATTCAGCAGAACTCCATACTTTAGATTTGGAATTCCACTTGTCCTGGTTAACAACATGTAGGACAACACCCTCTTGATGGGGCAGCAGCAGTGAGCGGCAGCTCCGGTCAGCCAAAGAATCATCAGGGCAAGCAGCACACTGCAGAGCATGTGCTGGTGGGCACAAGGTGTGGTACGTGCATTTTCAATTTACAATGTTTTTAATTTATTGTGGGGTTTAGTAGAGGAGCATCTATGATGCCAACTGGGCAGAGCTCCGTAGGCAGTTGAACATTTCTCGTATGTACTGCTACAGGAACCTCCTTTACAATGTATGGAAGAATGGCAATATAAATAAGTTGGTTAAGAAGAGAAGTGACACTRTGTGAAGCAGTGTCACCTGTTCATTTTTTTTTTAGAAAAACAAGTTTTAACCATCAACATATAATCAAAACTTCCAGTCTCCCAGACACGTTAGAAATATACAGTTAATCACAGCAGAATTGACAATCAAAATTCGCTCTAGTTGGAGCCAGACCTCTTTACATATTTAACTAGTCTTATTTTCACCTTTTCTTGCTATACAAATGTTTCTATTTCTAAGGCATTGCTACATTTACAAAATCTGCAAGAAAAAGCTCTTCAATGTACAACTTCAAAGTATAAATACAAACATCCTCATACAATTAAGCTTCAAGTCAGGATTTTGTATAATGGGCTTATAAAAATTAAAGATTCATTCTTCAGTTCTAAACAGCTGGTGCTGGTGCAAGGAAGTAATTTCACTGATCCTGGGGATGCAAGTGTGTCTCATGGCTGTGGTGGTGGTGGTCGTCACATCAACCTATATGCATGAACCACATACCCAGAGATGTAGGGGACTGGCGACCTCTTCAGAGAAAATCTTCTTCTCAGCCTTTTTATACAAGTTCTTCTAAAGGGTCCATTTTCTGCACTATGTAAAGAAGCCACTTTCTTTTCTTTTGTGTAAATCGCTTGAGGTTTAAAAAAGATGAACTACATGTCCCTATCCTAACAAGAGCTTGAAAATCAAATAAAGAAATAAAAAGCTGAAACAGAGAAAATTAAAAGAAAGAAAAAAGAAAGAAAAAGCTGATATATATATGTAGCTACTAGGTATTTTGTCTTCCCTTTTTTATTTTTTTAAATTAAGATAAATCAAAAGTTTCTAGCTTAAGTTAGGTAAAATCAGAGAAGAGAAAAAAGTAGATTATATAGCAAATACTTCTCTTGACACCTGTAATTTCTAAAACCACTAAGAGCATTTTAATTAGAATTAATTTTTATTAAAATTTATATTAAATTATATAATTAATTACATAATTTGATCTATATTAAATTTATTTAAATTAACTTTATTAAATCATTAATTTAAATAAAATTTAATAAATTTTAAAATATAAATTATAATTTACTATAAATTAATTTTATTAAATAAACAATGATAAAATAAGTTTAAATCAAACAATATTAATAAAATAAATTTAAATCAAACAATATTAATTTATATAAATTTAAATTAATATATTGAATTATTTATATTTAAAATTTATTAAATTTTATTTAAGTTAATTTTAATAAAAATGTTCTTAATGGTTTTAGAAACTACAGGTGTCACAGAAGTATATGTTATATAATCTGCTTTTTCTCTTCTCTGATTTCACCTACTTAAACTAGAAACTTTTGATTTATGTTTTATCTTAATATACAAAAATTAAAAAAAGGTTTTCATCTTTTAAAATTCATATTATTTTCTTTCTTTTTTTTTTTTGATCAAATGTTTTTAAAAAATGTGTTAATGTGTTTATAAGCATTACTGAAGAGCCCAGAAAAGCAGGTAGATAAATAGTCCAGATATTTAATGATGCATTCTTACAAATTAACTTTTACATTGGAAATTGTTCATGTGATTCCACTTTTGGTTTGACTCAAAAATACTCTTCCTTCTGGACATATTTAACWTCTAGAAAACTGAATTAATGTGAAATGACTTTTCTATAGAAATGGAAATAAGTAAAATGGATAGGTGTCATACTATTTGGATTAAAAGAATCTTAGAATTTACCCACTAAACTTCATGTTCAGGCCCTCCCCACTGTAATTTTCTTTTAGTAGTTTTACAATGTTTTCTTCTATAAACTAAAGAATTCACAACTTTTGCAATGTTATATTTTGTTTTCATATACTCTAAATCTGAGATATATATATATTTCATATGGGTCGGATTTTTCTTCTTTCCTATTATTTAAATGTATCATTTTTATCTTAATACAATTAAATTTAACAAATATAATCATAAAAAAAAGAGGTTGGAGCTAATGGTTCACTAATGCTCCTCTGTACAGTTGCTCACAAAAGTACATAAGAATTGATTACTGCTGATGATTACCTGATACATTGGAACAAAATTTTATAAACAAAAAGTGCTATAGCAAAGAAAACAAAAAAAATTTAAGTCCTATAGCAAACACACACACACACACAAAAGAAAAAAAAGACAAATTACCTAGTATATATATCGACTTTTTTTCTTTCTCTTTTTGTCTACAAATACATGACCTTGTTTTCCAAAAGGCCACTCTGTAAAAAAAGTACAAAGTGTTTATGGCTTCTTTAAAGTGCTAAATCATCTCTGGCTTGAGAAATACCTATTGCTTTAGAAGGTCCTGTAGTACAACTCTGGCGCTATTGTCCGGGGACACTGGCAATGGTGTAAAGGTGGGCATGAAATCTGAGATAGGTTTCAAAAGCAGATGCCCAGGTCCACCAGGTCCAACTCCAGCTAGGTTAACAAGTGGCACAGCTGCCGAACGTGGAGCCAAGAATGGACTCATGTCAGTTCTTCTACCAGCTCTGAATTCTGCTGCATCTAAATGATAAGATATGGGTTATTTAGTCTCCATCCATCACAAAGAGGTCAAATTGAAATAACCTTCTAATATAAATAAGAGCATAAAGAAAGCTATCCCTATACTGTCAAGGAGATTAACATAGATACATGAGTCAATTTACCACATATAGACTTTAAAATTCTACTTCCATGGTAGTAACACTGGTGTTTAGCACAGTTTTTGGACTGTTCTTTAATTGTTCAGAAGGAGAGCACAAGTAGACGTTAATTTGTAAACATTGATACTTATTTGCATTATGAAAATCTGATTAAAGTTTATTTGGTAACTTGGAACATTTTCTGGTTAAAAAACACAATGCTACATATGTGCTTTAGGTCTCCAGATCTGGCTCCATAATCATATGCTACTGGATTCTGGATCCCACAAGCAGAATCTATGAAATATATATATATGGTGAAGGAGAATAAGAAATAAAATTATTTATATGAATAACTAATGCTTTATTAAACATATTAATGCTGTTGCTTTATCCTTAATCAATAAGCTTTACTTACTAGAACAACAGCTTTTTAAATGGTGTTACCTATGTTGCAAGGCAAACTCTTACCCACCTAAAAAATAAAGGACTTGAGAATTTAAGATTTCCCAGTAATTACAATGGTCATGAAAAATGCTGGTGCCCATATTGTAATAATAACAATTAGAATCGATACTAATTTACCAGAAGGAAAGATAATAGATGCATATATTACCTGATCATCTTTTAGATATTCAATTAGACTATATCCTATCAAATTGGGCTGACACAATTCATTTTCACTGGAATAGATATTTGGCACATGGTCTAATGTATTAGTGACTAGAATTCTGCTTTTACACAAGACCACTAACAAGTTCACAGCTTGTAGTTGACACTTCAGCAATGGAAAACTCAAATACATCAGGCCTCCTAACACAAAGAAAGTACTAAGACAAATTCATTAAATCTAGTTGTTATCAAGTACTCCTGGATCCCCGAGCTAGATTTTCCTGTGAATGACAACTTCCTAAACTGGAAGGCTTCTGATATTATCCACTAAGCTCTGACATATTTCTTAAATTTGCTTTAATTCATGCAAATACTATTATCAGTTCATCATTGGCTTGTGTCCCTGATCAACACCAAGCAAGCTGGTTCCAAAGTGATAAAAGAAAAAGAAAGGGTATAACAGGGGGAAAGGGAGAGGGAAGAAGAGCAAAGTAGAGAGAGGGAGGGGAAGACCTTGCCATAAGGAATTGAGAATCTCCTTCAAGATGCTATAGTCTAGTGTAACCAAAAAAAAAAAAAAACGTTTTCAGTATTGTCTAAACCTCTTGGAAAAAGTAATGACTTTTCACTGAATTTGGTAGTCAAACCTAAACAAAAAATAACTTTTATCAATGGAAAAATTTTATATAAATTTTATTTATCTTTTTCTATAAAAGTTTGGAAAAAATGAGAAGAAAAAAGTTCAAAAAGTAAGAGATATTTGTTCATATTAAGCTTTTAAAATTCTATAAATAATTTTATCCAAATTTAAGTATATGGTATGTGATACAAACTAAAGAGTACATAATAACATACATCTTTAATCTACACTAAAATGCACATCTATATTAAAATATAAAAACTTCAGAAAGATCTTCTAATAAAAAATAGTTTAATGAGTCAGTTTTCTGACCTGATCTTATACATATGCCAAGTGACACTTCAATTTTCAAAGGGAAAAAAAAGCTACACATCTGACTCTGATTAGTAATAAGCACCATTAGTGAGAAAGGCAAACAGTTTAACAGGCAAAAGTTTTAACCAGTTCACCATCATTTCCAGAAGAATAATTCAAAGAGGCTTATGTAAAGAGAGAATTATTCTGAAATACAAAGGAAAAATATTTCATACTATTTAAATTAATCTAAGCCAATTAAATATCAGACTGCTACAATATATAAAGCCTTATTGGAATTTTGAAAGCAGTATTAATGTTTTTAAAAGCACTAAAAATTTAGTCAATATCACTAAAAGCAAAATCATCAGTTAGACATTCTATTTTTCACTTTGAGAAAAAAATAAGTATTTGCATTTACCTTTAAAACTTCCTGGTACATTTGCACCTTGCTCTCTCCTTCCTGGTGAGTCTAGACATTTCATGGCATGAGCAGAAAGTTTTGGTGGTGGAACAGACGGATGAGATTCTGTTTCCAGAAATTTAACAAAAAGTTCTGAAAAAGACTAAGAAAAAAAATCTTTTGGTTACATTAGACTAGATAATAAAATTACATTTACTGTAACTAAGAAAACATACCAGCTATTTTAATTAAAAATTGATCATGCTATGTCAATCTTTCTCTTTTTTTTTTAACAAATCAGCTTTATGGACAAATGAAAATGCAGCACTTTAGATACACTGTTTTTACAGAATTTTTTACAATTCAGTAAATAATCTTTGTGACAACACCTGTTTCAAACACCTTATTGTCAGATTTAGCTAACTAAGTGCCATTAATGACACTTAGACGTCAGTCTTTTTTCTTCTCTTATTTTTTTCCCCCTATGGTAGTGGGGATTGAATCCAGGTGTGCTTTAACCCCCTTTTAATTTTTTTTAAATTTTGAGATAGGGCCTTGCTGAGGCTAGCCTTGAACTTGCCATTCTTCTGCCTCAGTCTCCCAAGTCACTGGGATTAGAGATGTATAACAGCAATGCCTGGCAAAACATAAAATTTTATCAATGGAAAACATTCATTAAAAATAAGTCCCCTTTTTCCAGCAGTACTGGGGACTGAACCAAGGGCCTCATGCATGCTAGGCAAGTGCTCTACCAGAACCCCCAGTCTTTAAACATGATTTCCTAAATTAAGATCCAATCAGTGATAGTGTGCTTGTCTTGCATGCAACAAGGCCCTGAGTGTTCAATTCCCAGCACCAAAAAAAAAAAAAAAAATGCAATCAATGAATAATAGGCAAAAGATTAGTAACATGATCAAGTTAAAATAATATTGTAGCATATATCTTTCTTTTAGATTAAATTCTATGTCATCCAAATAAAACAGGGTCTTCCTATCTTTTGTGTCCTTTTAATTACAAAAATAAAAGAAAAAGCCCTATATTCTATAGTGCTATTTAATTCAATTAACATCCACCTAAAGTCTACTGTATACCAGGCACTAAATCTTTTCATTTTTGTTAACTGCCTGCTCCTACCAGAATGTTAGTTTGTTCAGGGCAGATACCTAGTCTATCAGCTTTGCAGATGTATCCCCAAAGCTTACAAGTTTGGTATACAACAAATATATGATATTTACAGGTGCTCAGTAAATATCACTGGCTCAAGATCTTGAAACACACATATGTGAATATAATAAAGATTCGGCATTTAAGAATGTTGTTATTTCATGGCGGCAGCATGATCAAACAAAGAAATGACGGCTGAGGATGTGGCTCAGCGAGAGCGCTTGCCTAGCATGATCAAGGTCCTGGATTTGATCCCCCAACCACAAAAATACACAAAGAATGCTTTAATACTTTGAAAAATAAAAGAACTGAATAAAAAGTTAAAATGAAACATATATGCAAAATAAAGTAGTTCAAACTGGCCTATCATCCTTAAACCAAACCTCACTGGATCTCAGTTTCCACAACTCCAAAATAAAAAAGAGTTGTATGAAACAACCCAAAGAATAAATCTGATTGTTTGCAAATGAGTGTGATATACAATCATTTCACCATTCATATTCCACAAGAATAAAACTGATTCTTACACTATTAAGCACAGATTGTTGATTTGGTCTCAGAGGTGTGTTGGGGACACTTTTCGATGCCCCGCCAAGCCAACTAGTCATCCACTTTGTAACACCACCATAATCTTCATTCAACAACTGCAAGATTATTTTAAAACAAAAATATTATCAATACAAGTAAAGAAAAATATGAATTGCTTTCACATGATTTCAACAAATCATGCTTTCTGAGTTTGGTTCCTAGTAAATATTTTCTAATACTGACAGAGGCTACAAGTACAATAAAATGTCATGCCAAGCACCCATAAAGGTTTGGGGGATTGTTAGATCTTAAAATTTCAATGCAGTAATAATAAAGTTGACTAATAAGTTAGAAAATGTATTAACTAATACAGTTTAGGATAAAATGATTCCATTTCCACATAACTGAGAAAATTAGTTTACGTAAAAGTTAAATATAATAAAAGGAAACAATTTTCTACAATGGTATTCTTTTAGTTGTAAATGCATTCAGAATAGCTTTTACTGTCCAGTTACCTGCTCCATTTCCTCCTTTTGAATGTCCAGGATGCTTCCCATTAACTGTAACACTTCATGACGTTTACTCTTTGGGGTATGGAAATGACCAATAAAAAGGTTTCTCATGAGGACTCTATGAAAATAAAGGCAGAAACAGCTCAAGCCATCTCCACATGGAGTGTACCCAAACACTAGACAGATAAACATTTAATTACACTTAAATAATTATATTTAATAACAAAAGACTGAACAATAAAATACATTAAATTAGCTTTTTAAAAAATTTGACAAGTTTAATTCAGAATATTTCTAACAATCCAAATGCATGCCTTTTAAAACATCATTTATGAGTCGCCCATTTTCTTTAACCCAATGACCACCAGAGGAGATGCCTCATTAGTGATGCTCAGTGCCTGAATGGACTGGCGCTCACCTGAAGTAGACAACTAAGTGGCAACAACTGTTCTTGTGTTTATCTATTATATTTCTCCATTCACATTTATCAAAACATTGCTAATAATAATATTAAGAATATTAAATATTATTGCATATATACCTAGACTTAATATGTTTGGGCAAGATATGTTCAACAAATCATACTTTTTAAGTCTGGTTCTTATAAATGTTTTCTAATATTGATAGAGATTAGAAATACAATAAAAAGTCATGCCAAGCACACATAAGTTTGGGGGATTGTTAGATTTTAAAATTTCAGTATCATATACAAGGGAACTGACATTTAAAGACAATAAAGGGAGAAAAAATAGTAAAAGAAAATTTTTTTCATTTTTAAGTACTTCACATTGGGGTGATGTTTTAACTCTTCCATATGATTTTAAGAAAAAGAACGAGACCAGAGGAGGAAGACGCACCAGGCGCCCAGCCAGACCGGAGGAGGAAGTCCGGCCCCGCCCCGAGTGCTAATCCGGAGGAAGCCCATCAACCCTTAAAACTCATCAAAGGGGGTGTGGCTACCAGCATGGTTCTCGGCTGATCCAGGTACCCGGTTTCCAACTCCCTCACCCTTAGCTGCGATAACTCAAAATATTTCCCACAAGCTTTTGGGGGTTGTAGCTATCAACGCAAAACAACAACTGTACTGGCACCTGGTTTCTACCTCAGAGACTAGAGTAGGGAAGATACAGGTGGAAGCTCATTTCCTTTCACACTGGCTATACCCACCACCCTGAATACAGAGGCTCAAGCTAGGAATAGACAACGCCACCTACTGGAAGCAAGGAAAAAGTGTCCTGAGAGACTTTTTTTTTTTCTCTTTCTTTCTCTTTTCTTCTCTCTCTTCCACAACTTCAGCATATGTGAAACCAAGAACTGTGCATGAACAACCAAATTACCAAAGTAATATAATATAGAGGAATTGCATATACCCCACCCTCCCCCCATTTTTTTTCTTTATTTCTATCTTACTTCC